CTCTTCTGCTTCTCCTGTTTTCTTGGGACTCCAAATGCCTAGTGATTACACTCTGCTTCTTATATATGAGTTTCTCACCTCCAAGGTATCCAGAAAAAGAAAAGTTGTTTTCCTTCCACCATTTTGTAGCCGTGGCTTGCATCTTTTGTTTGAGGCAGAGGCAGAGGAGGAGGGATAAACTCACTTATTGGACACACATATATCTGCACCAACAGCAGCACTCACCTTTTTCCCATGTTTGCGTCAGAAATATCCATCAAATCAGAGAGCAGGCCCATTTCCCTCCCCACGCTGTCCATCTCTTTCCTCCACAATGCATCGCATCAAAGTGCTTTTCTCTCTTGGTCCTTTGTGGACACATGTCAGTCAGCAGCTCACACAGGTTTGTTAGGGCTTTGTAGTTTGCTGCAGGCAATGTTTGAATTGGTTTCAGAGGAGTCAAAGTGGGACGAAGGGGTTTAAGGAATGCAGGGAAATAAACAAATGTGTAGATGTTATACATTACAAAAACAGGCATATGAAAATAAACTTGCACTAATGAGCTAAATGTTGACTGAAAACCAGGATTGTGTGGGAAGACAGAAACCATAGAAATCCAGTGAGATGCATTTGTATTCAAGAAACAATTGTTTTAATCAACACACACAATCGTGGTGTACCTGCCCCGCATTCCTCGCCTCCCACTCAACTAGACACTCTGCTTACCCTAGATCTCCTCCACATCAAAGAGCCCTCATTACAGAAGCCATCAAACATGCACAGAAAGATTTGAGGAGGGAGAAAGTGAGAGCCTGGAGGGAAGAACTGAGATGGGAGGACAGAGGAGGTGAGGGAGAGCAAGCACACTCCGACAGCATACAGACGTATCATTCAAAACAAATCAATTCCAGCTGCTATTTGCCTAACCTCGCAAGACCTTGGACGAGACCAGGCAGAAACACAAAAAATAACCTTGCAGTTAACGAAGAACAATGTGCAAAAAGATTTTTTATTTTGAGTCAAATTAAACGAAGGCCAATAAGATGAATTTGAATAAAACAGGGAGCCCAATCAGTGTGGTGAAACATCATGAAATCAGAGTCTTGCTCTTCTTCCTCACAGCTTTTGTTTTCCCCTCTGAAATGATGCCAAAGAGACTTCCCTTTTCCTACATGGCCACCCAGGCATGATGCCCATGCTTATGGGAGGAACATTGTGTAAGGTGGTGAGGTCGGGAGACTCCACGACTGGCGCTTGAGGTCAGACTTAGGTTTATTTTGCTAGGCAGGCCTCTGTCCAAAAACATCCTCCACAGCGTCTTCGGTGTCCGCCAGGTGCTGACCAGACAGAGCCTGTTAGTAGCGTAAGGAGAACTGCTGTGAGATGGACGGCTTCTTTCATTCAGCTGGTGTGGTGGTATACATTTACATATACAATTTAGGCATTCAGGTCACACACTCATGCATGGATTACCAATAAGGCATGGGGTTGAAATGTCCTGAGAAACACACTGGACCACCCAGGGAACTGCATGTACTGTAGAGAAATGTATAATTACACAGATAAGTAAGCTAGAAAATTACAACAGAAATGTTCAGTGAAGAGGCAACATAGATGTCCCAGCATATGTTTGCTTTTTTTTATATGTTTTTTATCTGTTCAGTCTTTATCTGATGCTCTCATCACCCATTACACACCTGGTGGTCCCAGAAAGGTCCCCAGAGGATGAGGCCTAATACCTTTGGCGAACCCCTGATGTTTTCTCCAGATCTCTATGAAGCAGAAGGACTTCACAGTGGCAACCAGGGAGTCACACAGGGTTCTTCTGGAAATCCACAACCATCTCCAGAGCTTGTCCTGCATCAGAGACGGGATAATGGTGTTGAAGGCAGGGCTGAAGTCTACAAACTGGATCCTGGCGTAGGTTCCTGAGGAGTCCAGATGCTGGAGGATGAAGTGGTGGGCCATGTTGATTGTGTCGTCTACAGACATGTTGGCTCTGTTGGCAAACTGCACGGGGTCCGGGAGTGGGTCGGTGAGGGTTTTGAAGTGGGACAGGACAAGGCACTGAAAAGACTTCATAACCATAGAGGTCAGAGCGTGTCGTCATTTAGTCCTGTAATCTTTGGTTTTTTGGGGACGGGGATCATATTGGAGGTCTTGAAAGAGGCTGGTACATGGCATATCTTCATTGAAGTGTCATTGTTTTGCTTTTTTATCAATTACACACTTGGCCCAGGAAGCCAATCAAATCAATTAACTTAACCACTTCCATACTGTTTTGACGCCGGAAGATGTGGTAGGGCTATCGAGCTATTTAGCTGTTGAACTGTCAGAGAGCTACGTGGGAGGGAAGGGGGAATCTCATGCTTGTGAAAGTTTTATGTTGGCTACTGTCTTTGAGAGAGAGAGAGAGACCACATTTTTACCGTTAATCCCGTTAATCCCATTAATCCCATTAAATGTACCGTTTGCGCACACAACCCCGCTCCACAGGCGCAGTATGCTGTGTTGCTGTGTGTGCTTTGCTAAGGTGTTTTTGTAGCGATGGTGTCTGTAGCAACACCTTTCGGTGTGATCAGCCCTTTAAAGAGACTTTTAGTCTTGTTTTGTGAATCCTATACATGGGGGCTTTTTTTTCGGATTCAAACATGTTTACTGATCTACAGTAGATGAGTGAGTACAAAAGGTTTTGCTCAAAAACATTTGGCTTTTTTCTGTCGGAAAAAGTCCCTCATGCCTAAACATCCTGCTGCCCTCAAGGCTAATTCTCCAGATGCTTGTTGGGGTAACATGCAACTTGGTGACATTCAGGCTGGGAAACAAGTTCAAGGCGCCACCAGAGTATTTTGTTTGAGACCGCTGTTTGAACTGTGTCTTTGACTTGTGTTTGTGGCACGAACATGTGAATAATGAATCTGAAATTGAGCAAACGGTGGCAAACAATGAAACACATTTTACATTATATTGACTGTGGAGTGTCTCAGTGGAGTACAGATTGTTTCAATCTTTTGTTCAACTTTGCACATATACACATTACCAAAACCATTTTGCTATGAGTTGATCGTGGTGTGTAATGGCTAAGATTCATCTCGTTTGGAGAATTTCATGAATTCAATCAAGGAATACAAAACCACCTTCATCATGATCCTACTTTTTCATATTACTGTAATTTTGTTGGTTGAATTTTTTAACATTTTTATTTTGGGTTTCTTGTTCAACAACATCTCATCTCTCATGACCGTGGCTTACTGGGTAGAGAGGGTTGTCCGCCAACCGAAAGGTCACTGGTTCGATCCTCGGCTGCACTGTGTCCTGTGTTGAAGTGCTCCTGAGCAAGACACTGTACCCTTAACTTCTCCCTGGGTGCCTGTAATTGGCATCCCACCCATCCCTATATATACAGGGATGGGTCAAATGCAGAGAATAATTTCCCCAGTGTGGGTCTAATAAAGGAATGTTTCTTTCTTTCTTTTCTCAGTAGTTAAGAGCAAGGGCTTCTAGTCCCTGAGGAAGCATGTCCGTCTGTCAGGCTTCTCCAACAATTTAACTAGTTACTGGAAATGTTTTGCAGGCACCGCACCGCTTTCAAATCAGTCAAGAATAATTCCCAGAAACTAGATGGACGTATCTCATTTTGACAGTTTTCCCGATCAATCAAGTTTGTAAAAGTTGTATATTGTTTGTTGCACTATGGCAACAACAATAAAAATTCTCTTTCAGTTGTTTAGTGACTCACAAAGGCTGCAGAGACAAAGAGGAAGAGTCAACATTAAAGGTGCTAAATACGAAATTCAGAGCATTTATTTTTCGCACAGCTCTCCACATGGCCACGGCTGAGCCGGGGAGTCCCGTCCAACACATTGAATGCAGTGCGAATTTTGCCATTAATGATGTTTAGAGGGTGTAAAGCAAACCTTTAGGTACAAGATAAAAGATGTTCCAGCATGTCAAATACAGAGAAATTCATTTTTTACTGTCGATTCACTGGCATTACATTTACACAAATACAACTCTCCTTCCTTTGCTTAAAAGAAAAATCAAGTTGAACTTTAACGGAGGGCAAAATGGAAGACAGATATTGTAGAAGTGAGGGTCAGGATGAAAAAAAAATAGCAGCAACATAGCAACTGAGGAATGTTTTACCACAGTCTTATCTATTTAATAGAGCTTTTTATGATATGCACAAAAATGTATACAAGTGAACCAGCTTGTCAGCAGCTACCAATAAGGCCCTCCTTAAAGGCCCAGTCTATTCTCTGTGACCATATACATTTGAGACATATTCATCTACACAGTCAAAAGGTATGAAATACAGATGCAAAATCATGAATTTGTGTGTTTTCTTGTTGACAATAATTCAGAATATATGCACAATATTGTTTCTGAAAAATTCTTAGCATTTTATTGAGATGGAATAACTTGACGCAGAGTTTGATGTCAAATGCTGTCATTTTCATTTTCAAAATGATTACAAAATTGCATTTTTAATTGTGTCTTAAACAATGCTTGCACAAATGGCCTACATCGTTTATATATTGCATTGACATTTTCTAATTTGATTTAACATTTAATTTGACTATTGTCCACCTTACTGCAGGCTAAGCCTTGATACCAACAAATAAACATGTGAACATTGAACATACAAGTAATAGCTAAAGCCCCTTACACTTTTCAGATAGTAGCCTATTCATAATTCATACAAGTATGAACATAAGAGAGAATAGAGAATTGTGTCTCTTTACATCTACTCTTCCTCAGCGATTCAAAACAGTGTGTTTCAGGCTTAGTTTGTTTGATCAAATTGTTTCGCGATGTTTTTCAGCTCTTTAACGCTGCTGGCTTTATTAAAGCTTGGTCTTGCGAGACTGCTAGTAGGAGCAGATCCTTCAAACCAGTGCAAACCATTGCACTCCACACTCCAGTCCAGTCGGTGGCGACAATGCGACAAGAATTTAGTTTGCAAGCCGCCAAATGAACGGAGAAAAGAAGAAGACGGAACCAGTAGTTTGTTCAACAAATGTTTCCGGCCGACGTTATTTTGAGTGAAGACTCGTGGAAATCCTGGTTGATTCGCGCTCTAATAACGATCACCTTTACGGCTTCATCGTGGAGAGCTTAATGGCTGCCCCAGGTCGGTATGACATTTTATGTGATTTATGATGAATGTAGTTCACTCTGGAAGTGTAATGGCACACAGAGTAATGTTATGGTTCAACAAAGTGGCGCTAACCTTCACGTTAGCCTCACGTGTTCACTCAACGTACGTCACAGACCCAAACAAACGTTTAATAGTTACCTTTAAACGGTAAAGTTATCTTTGACCCCACACAATACACTATTCCACATGGAAAAGAGACTGTAACGTCCCTGTGTTCATGTCTTCATACATGTCTACATATAGTGCGTTAATATAGCTAACGACACAGCAATTAATAAGCAGTGAGTTAGCAGTTTGCGACGTAAAAACAGAAAGAAATGTAGCTACTCATTGTGGAAAGCTTGAATCTGTTGTTGCACTTACAGGTATTGCGCAAAACTCCAGACATGGTCTGTAGAGCCCAACATACAGAACCGGGTATTTAGCTCCGTGCAAGTTAGCTAGTGTAACTACACAATGACCTAATAGTCTTTTTAATGTGTGTATGTATACGAGCTCTTAAATAACGTTACTTCAAACACTAAACACACGTTTGTTTCTTATCGTCTCACAGGTCCTAATAAGGACAACATCAGAGCTGGGTGCAAGAAATGTGGATATCGTAAGTAAAGCTTTGACACACTAGTTCCATCGCTTACTAAAGGAGGATGTTTCAATGTGTATGTGTTGTTAGTCTTGGGTCTGTTTGGTCGGTTGGACTCTGCAGCTGGAAGGGTTATAATACTTGAATGTAGACTATAAAAGTGTTTCTGGTTGTTCATCCATGCTCTCTTGGACCTTTTTGGATTACTTTTTTCCCCAGCGGGCCACTTGACCTTTGAGTGCCGGAACTTTGTCCGAGTTGACCCCCAGAAAGACATTGTTCTGGATGTAAGCAGCACCAGCAGTGAGGAAAGTGACGAAGACGATGTACCTGCAGCTAAAGTCATTGAGAAGCTGGGGCGAAGTAGAGGTACAATGATGACCCTCTTGTGTTTGTTTTTTTAAAACACTCTGTGATATAATCAAAGACCAGCTGAAGATTATTAAGGAGGAAAATGTGATTTTGATGCAGCAGTAGTCCCAGAAGAGGAAGTGGTTGAAATCTCAATGTTGCTACTATTAGACATACTTTTTCAGATTTTAAAGATGTTACTTTCATTTGTATGTCATGAGCAGCTATTATTCCAGTAAAAAGTGCCTTGACTGTTCTGTCTTCAAATCTGTGCAGGTTCCCATAATGATGAAAATGATGGTAGGAAAGGGAGACACAAACAGAAGAAGAGCAGTGACAGAAAGTCAAGAAAGAGGTAACTGTTTTTCCTACCTAGTTCTTCAATCCACACCGACCCAACACATCACTGTTTTATACGTTTATGCTTTGTTGGTTAATGTCCCAGACCAGATGATCAGACTTTGAAGCTGATGTTGAGATGTGTTTGCCTTTTATTGGCCAATTTACATATTTTGACCTTTTTTTTTTTTTTCTTCAAGTGATATTAATGTTTTTTTTTAAATTCTGTTCTCCAGATCTAACTCGTCGAGTGATGAGACTACAAAGAAAAAAAAGAAACGCAGCAGTTCCTGCTCCTCATCTGACGAGGAGGAGAGGGGGAAGAAAAAGAAAGTGAAAAGCCGGAAGAAGAAAAGCAAAAAGACCAAAAAGGAACATGGGAAGCATCAGAAGAAGAGTCAGAAGAAGAAGAAACAAGAATCCTCTTCTGCTTCTTCCGGCTCTAGTGACTCCTCAGACAGTGACTGAGACTGTACAGTGTCCGGAGGTCCAACAGGTTTATTCTCCGTCAAACTGCGTGAATAAGGCGCCTCATCTTCCACTTCATCAAGGATTTAAATGATTAATTAGTCCAAAAATACCGTAGAGCGTACTATATGTTTTATGCCATCATGTCAGTGGAAAAAAAATGATTTTGGGATGCTCTGAAGAATTTTGTAAAACATGTAGGAAGCCAGGGAACATGTTCTGTTATCGTGTTTCTTTGCTGCGTGCAGAGGAATCTTTAAGTGACACATGGTACACTCATCATACATGTCTTTAGTAATACGTTTCTGGATGCTGTCCTGTAGTTGTTGCTCTTTTATACGTTTTCCTGCTTTAATGCCTTTTTTTTTTTTTTTTCTTTTTTTGACCCAAAAATATTTTAAAGGGGTCAAAAGTGAATCACAAACCTGATTTGACAAGATACGAATGGCCAAGGATAACGATCACCAATACTCAGTGGCGTATTTTTTTATCAGTGCTGACGTGTCAGCCAGTAGTTCAACTGCTGCTAACTGGTCTTCTCTTAGTTTATAATTGCCTAAATGTTTATGTTGTACTTTTTCTAGGATGACTTTATGTACAATGAAACTCCTGGACGTACCTGTGAGACTGTGTGGTTGCTACTAATGTGATTATTGTCAAAGAAAGGTTATCATTTAACCACCCACACCTTGTTGAAAACCATCTGGTCATTTCAAAAGTTCATTCCAAAAATATTGTGCGTATTATTTAAAAATCATTAACAGATTTTTTTGATACAGCTTTGTTTATTTCCTATGCACAATGTACTATTGCTTCGGTCTGTCATCTTTGGTCCTCCCCATAAGTGTACTTTTATTGTAGTAAAATATATATATTTGTATCTCTGTCTCTAGAATTCTTTTTTTCCTGTAGAGGGCAGCAAAATACCTTGAATGTGAGATGAAGGACAGTGATCTCAAACACCTTTCTGAGTATTAAAGATGAAAAGGAAATGTGTGGCTGAGGCAAATATACATCAACAAAAAGAAAATATTTAATCTGTATGTTTCAAGTGTCAAACACAAATCCAAAGTGCGATGTTTGTATCCTAAGCAAACATTTTGTTCAATAATCAATTTACAATATGACTATTATAGTCATTCAATGGCACACATGCCACATATTCTGTGGAATAACATGTTAATACTTAATATTTCTGGTGAGAGTCTGTATTTAGGTGTGAAGCACAGTAACAAGAAAGTTCACTATATTGTATAAACCATTAAAATGTTGCTTGACATGCAACTGCTTTGCATCAGGTACTTATATTTGAGTCCCTCCTTTTTAACATGATTTTTTTTACATACATATTCTTCATGAATAGACAAAAAAAAGGAAATTAAATTAGAAAATCCACTGAGAAAAACGGTGAAAAGCAGGAAGGGGATGGAAAAAAAATATATATAATAGTAATATTTACATTTATTTATGTAAATTTACCTTTATTATGTAATCTAAAAGAATAATTGTAAATGATAAAACCCCATAATAATGACATACAAGCCTACATCTACTGTAGACTTGGAGTATCTATCTTTACTCCATCTAGTGGTCATGGTGTGTGAGTGGTCAGGGACTGAGCTGAATCCATTCAAGCTGCCATCATCTCTACTGATAATGTGCAATGGTGAAAGACAGACAGATTTATAGGAGTGTTACTGAACTTTCTGACACTTGTTTAATTTGCCAAATAATCACGAATAGACAGAAGCTGCTGGGTAACAATACTCTTTGGCTCAACTTCTTAATTGCAGAGGCACATGTGTCAAACTGTAAATGTTTGGAGGGGAAGTCGATCACGTACTCATAGGGAGATCCAATCCACGTTCACATGCTAACACAGACACACACAGAAACGTATCAAAAACACAATCATTTTAAGATTCACAACAGTGTCTGCAAATTTCATAAACAACCTTTTACGTTAATTCAAAGGGCCATTCATTGCACCTACAGTGTACACACGGTTATCAGACTGCTCAGGCATGTGTCTATGCGCTGAGGCACCATGGCCCACAGGCAGGTGCAGCAAACCATCATGAGTTATTGGTGTACATGCATTATTGCTTCCATCCCACTACCTCCATGTTGTCAGTAGGCTTTCACTCCCCCGCTAAGACATGAAACTGCACTAAGAGCCACATAGCATTACAGACATTACAAAACTAGGATCTTTGGAAGCACTTGTTTTGGCCGATCTGGGCTGTGTGACAGATGTTTATAATAGCACCATTAATTTCACTTCTTTGAAACATCTGCAACATCCCGAACAGCTACATGCATGGCTGCTGATCAAAGCCCCGCATTATGACAGGACATTAACATTCAGCTGCTACTGACAACTGAGACAGTCGAGAAGTCAATACAAATTCTGGGAATACGGAATACGTGATGTCTGATGTCCCATGTTCTCAGTGTCTGGTCAATTTCCTGTGAAGAAAAGTCCTCGCAGGAAATTGTTTGTTTAGGTGAGGATCTCAAAAAGCAACACTCGGCTCCTTCTCAGCTGAGTATGAATAGTGCCATCTACAGGCACTCAAGCCTCTTTTAAGGAATAGTTCAACATTTTAAGAAGATAGTTGGTTTAGCTTAGCAACACATTGAAAACAGGTGGAAACAGTGAGCCTTGCTTTGTCCAAAAGTAACAAATCCACCTACCAGCATCTTTACAGCTCACTAATTAACTTGTTATATCTCTTTTGTTTAATCCGTACAGAAACCAAAATGTAAGAACTACACTACTAGTCGGCGTGATGACATTGTGTAGTCTCATTTTGCTACTTGTTGGCAACCGCCCTTTTTAAAGACATGTAGGAGGTTAAAAATTCACCAGAGGGGTATTCATTGAATTTGGAAAAACATGTTAAAAATATCTGAAGCTTGTGTCTCATGACATATGTTATGTAGATTTTATGTCCCCCATCCACAGTAATGAGTGCAAAGCTTCAAAGAAGATTCTCAAATAAAATGATTGAGTACTAATGCATCGAAAAAAAACTTTGTAAATTACACATTTATTGCCAGCATAAATGTATAAGCATTCAATGTTTTCATTCTGAACTAACAGTATACGCCTCCTGTGCATATGCTTACTAATGAAGGCAATAGTAAAGTCTTGACAAAAGAAACTTGGAGAGAGGGAAAATTCATAATTGTCCAGATGGTAAGAGGACAACTCGATACAGAGGAACAAATGAAGTTGAAGGAGTGCTGCCATGTGCAGCCACACTGAGCAAACCATATGCTGTTTGTATAAGACAACAACTAGGTTTTGCCTGTTTTCATCAGCTCATTTGCTTTTATTGAGCCTGTTGGGCTGTAGGAAAGCAGCAAGCGAATGGGACTCCACTGAGCCATTTAAATGAAAATGAGATGGTCAGAGTGATCTTTTAGAGAGTTTAGCTGCAGTGGAACGGCGATTCAGCCTCCATGTAAACATCCCTGAGGCTTTCATCTCAAACTTTTCTGCACAATCGCTGACCAGAATAACCCCATCGGGGCAAATGATCTCTCGTTAGCATTAGGTGTGTTTTTCAATTTGTTTATACAACTTTAGTAGCTTGTGTGGGCGGCCTGGTAGCCTCTGTGCTGGTGTCTGTTTTTAACCTTTCTTGGGGATTTGAGCACACATGCTCTTTTTTTTCCAGCAACGCCCTGCTTCACATTCACACACTTACATTCATCCAACCTGGGAGCGGCCCAATACAACCACAGTCTCCTGCTGAAGCCAGTGCACAGCTCCACATACAGTTAAATGCTTGGCTCAAAGGCACCTCAGTGGTATAGCTGTGGAAGGAGGACAGAGATCATTGGGCCTGGGAATTAAAACCTGCAACCTTTTGGTCCTGAGCCTGCTTCTCTTAACCTTAAGGCCACCACCACCACTATACACAGCAAAGCATAACATCTTCCCAGAAATAAAATGAAAATCCCTTATGCTGCACTTTGGTGGGAACAACCCAAGCTGAGAGATGGCGCCGGTTTTGCGTCTGTAACCACTGTTGAAATATTATTTCAGAGGCAAGCCGTCCCCGCATCTTGGAGCACGGTGAGCTGAGCCCTTTAAAAATGCATTAGGGCCAAGGGGCAAGTTGGAGACTATACATTTGCTATCAATTTAGTTCCTGCATCTTAGATTTCGTTCTTCTCTTCCTCTCCTGGCCCCAAAAGCAGGCGTAATGTAGTAAATGACTTCTAGGATAAATAGACAGCAGGCTACATGACCCCAGTCATCGAAAAACGGAGGCTGTATCAAATACTACATCGCTTTACAGGAAGCATGTTCGACATTCTCCCAAAACCTGCTGGGAGAGAAAACGAGAGGGTGAATGGGGTGAGTCTCTCTTCGCCGCTCTTTCTTTGGTCAAAACCTTTTTTCTTGAGGTCTGTTATTACCGGCCTAGTTCCTGGGTTCCCATTCAGAGTGGAGCTTGTTCATATAAACCTTGAGGTTTTGAGGCATCGCTGCACTGACTGGGTGGCTTTCACCAGGGAATTAGCACAGGGTCGCATTGGATCACGATAAGTAGGTCATTTACGGCTAACCTGTGTTGGACCGGGCTGCCTATGGAGGTGGTGGCGGTGAGGACAAGTTTCCTGGCTCTGGAATATGGGTCAGCCAGAACCCAGGATGTGTAGGCCTCGGAACTGTAAGTCATAAATCCCTCTGATGCTTTTCCACTTACTGTTTCATTTCTATATCATTTTATTTAACCATCATTTTCCAGATTAGTCTTAATGATATTGGGAATCTCTTGCCCTGTAAGACCCAACCTTTTTTGATAGCTGGAGGAAGTACTTTAGCCTACAGTATATGATTTTATCTCAATTATCTTTGGCAAGCGTGAACAGTGATGTAAATGATCTTGATGTCTACATTTATTGGTATATTCATGCTTAAAAATACACTTGGGGGCTTAGTATTCCATTTGTTTTATTTAATTACTTGTTTTTAGCTCCACATAAAAGGGGATGGATCTTTCTGTTGAGTTCAGACTTCTTTCTTAAAGTATGTATTCGGTGATCATCATGACAAATGGTTGAAAACAATGCAGAGGTTGCTTTATTTCCTCATATTGTTGTGCAAAAATATTTACATGACCATAATATGACTATTGAATTCGCATAGACTTCATCCTCCTTTTCTGACCCAATCCATCCGTCCCACTGAGGTCCAGAAGGTGGCAGGAGTGGCACTGCTGACAACGTACCAGCAGAAAGAAAAAAAAGATATATATATATATATATATATATATATATATACACATATATATATTACCACCCACCCAACAGCTTCAGCACCACAGTCTTTCCTCTCTGCTCCTCAAATGACGATAGACTTTGTTACATGTCCCCAACATCAGACACATGTGGCTTTTTGAAAGATGAACGACATGGTGTCATCTCTGTGCCGGGGCACATCTGCTCACTCTTAGGTTTAATGTTCTTTCCATTCCACATTTATATGGAAAGTTGTGTGCCTTTGTTCTGTTCTGTGGGGGGTTTCTGTCCCTTTGTTTAAAAGAGACATCAAACAGGGCCAGCGGGGCATGATGGCTTGAACATGATGGAGATTGTTGTTTTTTGTCATTCGCCTTGGCTCTCATTTTTTTTTCTTTTGATGGAAAACTTTAAATAAGACAGAAAAATGGCACAGATGTCATCACTTTTTTTGACAGATGTTAACAAATGTTTTCACAGTCTGTTGGTTGCTTCAAGTGATGTCGTAGGTGTTTAGTCCTAGTTTAGTATTAACTGTAGTATAACTTTTTTTTAAATTTAAAATTAAAATGTAATTAAAATTGTCAGGGATATAAACCAGAAACCCTATAGTCAGAATGTATCTCCTCTTTGTCATCTTGACAGTGGACATTTTACACTACCGCTGCACCTATACTGTGTGAAGATGGAGTGAGTAATGTTGAGTTGTACCTCAACCCTGAGTTGACAAAAAGAAAATATATTTAAGGAAGATGAGGGACCACATTTGGGTAAAAGCAAAGTGAGATGTTGGAACTTTCTCTTTTAAATTCCCGTCCCCAGAAGAGGGCCCTCTGGTGGTGTTAGATGTTCAAATCCAACATTCAGCCTCTGAGAAGCAATTATCATTGATTCCCCCAGTTTATTTTTTTTGATTTTTTTAGCTCAGATGATGTTTGCTCTATCAATGGAAGAGGAAAGCCATCATGAGAAAGAATTATACATAATGTTCAGTAATGATCTCTTTTTTCCTTTTGCCAAGTCTACCTCGCACTCAATGATACAAAAT